TTTTTATATTCCTCTCAAACCGGCTCCATTCCAGGTTGAGGTTGACGAGGATCCAGCTGACGCTAAGAAGGATGATCAAGATGAGAAAACTGAGGTAGTCTACTGCAAGCTTACTGACTTCTTATAATATGGAAGAATTATGTAATCACTTAAAGTCACGTGTTGACTATTTTTTGACGCTTGTTATAGCAGAAGAAGAAGAAGACAAAAACTGTAGTTGAGAAATATTGGGATTGGGAGCTTACGAATGAGACTCAGCCAATATGGGTGAGCTATTGAAATTCTATTCCTACTTTACTCATTAAGTGCTATTTTGAAGTATAACTAAATTGTAATCTTTCTGTTTAACGCAGCTTCGTAACCCCAAGGATGTCACTACAGATGAGTACAATGAGTTTTACAAGAAAACCTTTAATGAATACTTGGAACCTCTTGCTTCTTCACATTTTACAACTGAGGTAATAATGATTTGGAACTTAACTGAAAATTTAAGTAGAGTCTACTCTGTATCTTGATGTGCTTCAGTTTGATAAATATCTAATTTCCCAATTTACAGCATATTTCCAAGTAGTTAGTTGTTTAGAGTTGGTAACGTACCCCGGAGGCCTGATAATAAATAATCTTTCCAGCATTTGAAATAATTCAAGAAGGACTAAGCTCTTAAAATATATGTACTTGCTTGCTTTGTGGTTGGTTCTCAAGTTTCTAAATAACGGGCGTCATTTACTCTGGCAGGGTGAAGTGGAGTTTAGGTCCGTCCTTTACGTACCATCCATTGCACCGACTGGGAAGGATGATATTGTCAACCCTAAGACAAAGAACATTCGGCTGTATGTCAAACGGGTTTTCATTTCAGATGATTTCGACGGTGAATTGGTGAGACAAATCTAATTGTTCCCAATTATGATGTTCATCCTCAAACTATAGATAACAGATTGCCATTTTTTTGTGTATGGATTAGTTCCCTCGATATTTAAGCTTTATCAAAGGTGTTGTCGACTCGAACGATCTTCCGTTGAATGTCTCACGAGAAATTCTTCAAGAAAGTCGCATTGTAAGAATAGGAGCTAAATTGTTTTTTATTTGTGGGTACTGTACTAATTTCCTTTTCCTAGTCATTGTTCTGATTATTCTTTGCTTGTCATTTAAGGTGCGCATTATGAGGAAGCGTTTGGTTCGTAAGGCATTTGATATGATTCTGGGTATAACTATGAGTGAGAATAGAGACGTATGTATCTATTATCTTACGTTGTTTCTCTTATCATTTTTCCAAGTCCAGAAAACTTCACCTGACCTTTTTAATGGGTTAGTTTCTTCTTTTTCTACTTGCCTTCTTAGTTGACATGGTGCTTCTTGTACAGGATTATGCAAGGTTTTGGGAGAATTTTGGCAAACACCTTAAGTTGGGCTGCATTGAAGATCGTGAGAACCACAAGCGCATTGCTCCCCTGCTACGATTTTTCTCTTCTCAAAGTGAGGAAGATATGATTAGTTTGGATGAGTATGTTGAGAACATGAAACCTGATCAGAAAGATATTTATTACATTGCTGCTGATAGTATAACAAGTGCGAAGAATACACCATTCCTGGAGAAACTTGTTGAAAAGGATATTGAAGTATGCATTCTTTGCTGATTAATTTATCTCTCTCGACTACTTTATTTATTTTTTCATGATTTATAATCAATTTATTTTCTTTCATGTAGGTACTATTTCTAGTGGATCCTATTGACGAGGTTGCCATCCAAAACCTTAAATCTTACAAGGAGAAGAACTTTGTTGACATTAGCAAAGAAGATCTAGATCTTGGTTAGTTTATTGGGACCTTCTCATTTTATTTGTTAATTACTACCCATAGTCTCTTTCAGACATTTTTAACCCTTTTACTGTTGACCATGCTAATATTAACTTCCCAATTTAAGCTGCTGCTGCAATTCTTTCCCAAATTAATCTTGCATATATTAACAGCTAAAGGTTTTGGAAACACATGGCCTTAATTATCACCTAACATCATATATTTGAATGAAAAAATTTCAAAAGCAAGCCGAACTCACATCATGTCTTTAGTTCCTACCCCTGTACTGGTTATTTCTGCTGCAGCAACTAAGGATTACTTTCGTGGGATTGGGACCTTTTATTTGTTCAAGTAATTTGGAAATAGCATGATAGTGAACGTTTCTTGTTACTTCACGTAATAATTGCCTGCTCTGTGATCCATAATAATCTGATTCAGTTTGGTGGCTTAATTATTCGTGTTCGAAAGTCCTTTATTGGATATGATAGCTGTCAAATCAGCGGTCAAATCATTTGATACAGTGCAACTAAACACATGCGATTCTTGAATTGAATTGTATAGCAGGATATGGGCACAAGTTTCGACAGAATTACTGAAAAATAATCTATCAAGAATATTCATATCCAGACAAAAAAGCTATTATGGCAAGATCATTAGAGTCAACCATAAGATGCATCTTCATTGGTGGAGAATGCAATGTCAAAAATTCAATGGAGCAGGAGTTTTTAAGAGATTTTACATAAGATATACATGCACATGAAATAAAGTAAATTATGATCATATGGTCTTTAGAAAATGAAAAGACTACTGTGCTACTGTAGAAATGTGATAACTCTCATGATATGTTCTTTGAAAATTGATTGAAGCCATTGTTCTGGTGTCCAGGTGGTTTGTTGGAATTGTTCTCTTTCTTCAATATGTGCCACTGCAGGACATTGATCTCTTGTATTCCTGACACCCTATTGATATAAATTTTGTAGGCGATAAAAATGAAGAAAAGGAAAAGGAGATAAAGCAGGAGTTTGGTCAAACCTGTGAGTGGATTAAGAAACGCTTGGGCGACAAAGTTGCCAGTGTTCAAATCTCAAATCGTTTGAGCACATCACCGTGTGTACTCGCTTCTGGAAAGTTTGGTTGGTCTGCTAACATGGAGAGGTAAAGCTTTTCATTCTTGCAGATTCAGAAGATAGATTTTGTCTTTTGAATCTCACTATTATCTGAACTTCTTGCAGGCTGATGAAGTCACAGACTGTTGGTGATACCTCGAGCCTCGAATTTATGAGAAGCAGGAGAGTTTTTGAGATCAATCCAGATCATTCAATCATCCAAACTTTAAATGTACGGTCACCTAAATATAGCTATAATACATTCTATATCATATTTTTCTTAACCCAATTTTCTATTTTTGTATCTTGCAGGCTGCATGCAAGAGTAGTCCTAATGATGAGGAAGCCTTGAGGGCTGTTGATCTTTTGTATGATGCAGCATTAGTTTCTAGCGGTTTCACTGTGAGTATCAATTGCACCCCTTGTCTATGTTCTGTGCTTATATAGTTTGTACTCTATTTTAAAATTGAAGGACAATAACACTGGCTGCAAGACCTGAGCTGAGGCGAATTGTGTTTTGGCTCCTTAATTAGTGACCCACTGATTTAATTTTGCACATATTAAATGTCCATTATTTGGATGCAGCCTGAGAGTCCGGCTCAGCTTGGAGGGAAGATCTATGAAATGATGGGCATGGCTCTTTCAGGCAGATGGGGAACATCTGCAAAAGTAAACCTCCCTTCGCATGTCCCAGAAACCTTTGAAGCTGAAGTAGTCCAGCCTGCTGAAGCGGGTAGTCAGAAATTATAGAAGTGAGGACGCATCCAATATTCATGCCTTTGTATAAATCCTACATGTGTGGTTTATGAGATTTAGTTGGAACAACCAATCGAATGTAATCGGGGAAACTTGCATTACTTATTTCTCGTGCTATGCGAATAATTTATTATTATCAGAGCAATTTTTCTGTTTAAGCAAGTCTTTGCCTTTAGGGTCTTGTCATCCATGTGCTTGTTGAATTTCAGATGTTAATGACAGATATTGTAAGATTGATACACCCTTTTCCGATTCCTTGCCAGAATTTAGAGCCTCTTACGCTTAGCTGATTCCTCATTAGGTAACTATATACAATCCTTTTACAAGGGACTACCAAAGTCTAGAATTCCAACATCAGATTGCCAAGATTGTTTCAGACAACAGTTCTTGTTGGTAGCCTTCGTGGACTTTACGTGCTGAACGCTGAACATTTTGTTGATATTTGCAAGTAGGAAATGCAAAGCCAAGTTTTGCAGGATCAGCGAAGCTCAGTCTATTGGGATTTTGAGGGTCTGCCTGCCTGGCTGACTCTTTATTTCCTCAATTGCATCAATCTGTTAGTACTCTATAGCGTATACTCTCAAGGAAGTCGTCGTCATTCTCGTACCCTCCGATAAACTTCGGCATCATCCATTTTATTTTCTTATTCATAAATTTGAATTGATGTTGTGCTAATTGACATATATGTTCATATTTAACAAAACACAGTTGAAATATGTTGTCTAATTCCAATATTCTCCCTTATGTACGATGGTATGATTGCAGAATGTTCATGTTATCGCCAATTGTAGATTCTAGATTTTCAAGTTTTTATTCCCAATTGTGTCCCCAAAAAGGAATAAATTTACTTTTAAGCAAACTTTTTAGCTTTTAAGCTTAGCCAAACTGACCGATATCCACATAAGAATAAATACAGAGATAGATTTTAATTAGAGTTCGATTTAAAATATATTTAGTCAGACTAAATTTGATTCATTTTGATATAATTATAGTTTATTAGAAATTTGTTTCCTTAATTCTTATCTTCTCGAACCCTTTTTTTTTTAATCTTTGATTATTCCTTAATAAATTACAGGCTCCAATTAAAAAATAATAAATTAGGAAGAAAGATGGAATCTTTAAGACTCCTTAACTCAAAACAAGACGTTTTTCACAGGAAACAACAAAGAGAAACCTTTCTTTATCCCTTGTAATTATATTCTGAAAAGACAAACGATCAGCTGCTAAAATGTTTTTTAGCAAAGCCAAATACTATTGTAGTCGTCGACAGATATAGCTTATCTGCCAAAGTTTCTTCTTCTTTTTTTTTTTTCCATCTGTGTGTCGTGATTTTTGATACGAGTCATGGATTTCCAGATAGCGATCAAGAAAAGGAAGTGCCACAAGGAAGAAGATGAAGAAGATCAGCCCATAAATCGCTTATGCTGTTTGCCGCATGATATCGCCCTAGACATACTCTCTAGGCTGCCCATCAAATCTGTTATCCAATTCAGGTTTGCTTGTCGATCCTGGCATTTCTTGTCTCGTGATCTACAACTTGTTAATATGCACATGTCCCGGACACTGACTAGCCAAAGGTTATGCCTTATTTTCCATTCTGATTATCCTATTCGAAACCAGCTTCACTTTGTTGAATTTTCTGATGTTGATGACAATGAAATAGTGAGGAAAATTGATACTCCCTTTGCCGTTTCCATGCCGGAATTTAGTGTGATTGGCTCATGCAACGGTCTGTTATGCCTAATTGATTCATTATTTGCTGACTCCATATACATATACAATCCTTTTACGAGGGACTATAAAGTGCTACCGAAGTCCGTTGAATTCGAAAATCAGATTGTCATATTTGGATTTGGATTCCATCCAATTACTAAACAGTACAAGGTGATCAAGATAGTTTACTATCCGAATGTGTATAATCTTGAAATTCCTAGGCATGTCCGCAGATTTACACACATGAGTTCACGGAGATCAGATGTTCAGATTTACAATCTGGGTGCCAATAAATGGAGAAGCATAGGACAAGCACCTTACAAACTAGAGAAAAGGTCTTCACTAGGAGTTTTGGTGAGTGGCAGACTTCACTGGATGACTCACTGGGGAAAGTACAATGGGCGACGTAACAGGATCATTGTATCTTTTGACCTCTCCGATGATTCATTTCAAGAGATTCCAGGGCCCGACACTGGTAACTTAAGAAGTTTGATGAATTGCCATGTTGCTGTTTTAGGGAGTTGCCTGTCTGCTGTTGTGCCTTCGTATGGGGGTAACGGAGGTCACGATATTTGGGTGATGAAAGAATATGGAGTGCAAGAGTCTTGGGTGAAGGAGTTCACTCTTGGAGTTTACTCCCCAAGGTTTATTCGTCCTGAATTGCAGAAATCTTATCAGATTTGGAGGAAATATCTGGGTGGGAGATTAGTTCGTATTATATGCCTTTTGAAGAGTGGAGACATATTGGTGGAGTACAGAGGAGGAACTTTGGTTTCTTATAATCCAGACAGTGGAATGTTTAAGAATATCGAGTTTCAGGGGATGCCGAAAATGTTTCAAACGACAGTTCATGTTGGTAGCCTTTATCCAGTTGTTCAACCCTAGACTATACATACAGAACTCTAAACATTTTGTTGATTTCTGTAAATTATAAGGTGTTAATTCCTTGCTGAAACAATATTGTTTATGGTAGTCTGCTCCACTTACACGTGACTGTTGAGTTTTTGAAAAATTATTGTACATGACATTTCCTCTTTCTGAGTTTGAAAGCATGCATTCTGGCAACTGATTTAACTGGATTTTCCTACAGCAGGCATAAATACTTGTCCAAGGTATTTTCCAATATGTGAATTTGCAAGAAACAAAATGTAAGGCCAAGTTCTGCAGGATCATTAAAGCTAAGGTTAATCCCTTCAACCTCTGGTCTGCCTCTTCGAGTCTTTTATCTACAGGCTTGCTTGTGTCAATTGATTAGTACTTTACAGCTCATACTCTGTGTATTTGTAGGGATGTAATATCTGGAACTTAGTTATTCTTAATATATTCAACAAAAAAATTTATTTTTAAAATTAACGTGACTTATAAAGCTTTAGCAAAGATGCTCTTAGTTAACAAGGAAGAAAGATAGCAGATTCAAAGAAAGAGTTTTGACAAGATAAAACCACCCTTTTAAAAATATTCCTTTTAAGACTGGCAGACACAAACAAGCAGATGCTAAAATGGATTTAAGCCTAGTCAAATACACTTATTATAATATTTTGATTTCTGATAGCAATCTCAGCCACGGATTTTCAAAGAGAATTAGTGACATAAGGAAGAAGATCACCTAGGTTGTTTGCCTCATGAAATAGCCCTCGACATACTCTGTAGGCTGCCCATCAAATCTGTTATCCAATACAGGTTTGCTTGTCGATCCTGGAACCTGTAGGCTGCCCATCAAATCTATTATCCAATACAGGTTTGCATGTCCTGGGCACTGATTAATCTAAGGTTATGCCTCTTTTTCCATTGTGATTTTCCAAACTTCACTTCGTTGAATTTTCTGATGTTGATGATACTGAAATAGTGAGAAAAATTTATACACCCTTTGCCAGTTCCATGCCAGAATTTCGTGTGATTGGCTCATGCAACAGCCTGTTATGCCTAACTGGTTCATTGTTAACTGGCTCCATATACATATTCAATCCTTTTATAAGGTTAGAAAGTGTTCCCCAAGTCCATAGAGTTCAAATATCAGATTCTCATATTTGGATTCGAATTCCATCCAATTACTAAAGATTACGAGGTGATCAAGATAATTTACTATCTTGAAATTCCTGGGCACTTCTACACATTAACATACACGAGTTCACGGAGATCGGATGTTCAGATATACAATCAGGGTACGAAGAAGCACCTTAGAGACTACATAAAAGGTCTTCCCTGGGGGTTATGGTGAGTGTGGGAGACTTCACTGGATGAGTCAAAAGGGGAAAGTATTGCTCTGTATATTTGGGTGATGAAAGAATATGGAGTGCACGAGTCTTGGAATTTGGAACAACTTTCGGATTATATGCCTTCTGAAGAATGTGGACATCTTGGTGGAGTATAGAGGAGGAACTTTGGTCTCTTATAATCCGGACACTGTATTTTTCAAGAATCTTTCGCTTCAAGGGATGCCAAGAATGTTCAAACAACTTTTCATGTGCGTAACCTTGTTCGATCCTAGATGCACAACTTGACATTTTGTTCATATTTGTTAATTATAAAGTTTTGATTCCTTGATGAAATAAATCCTATTAGTTACATGCACTATGAGTTTATATAACTGCAATCACGCTACATGTACGCACTCCCTAACACATTTCTTTCCTCTTTCACATGGCGACATATACGCTCTTGATATTGAACTCATCAATCACATCACACACTGCACAGATTTCCTCCACATAGGAGGGAATGTCATCCAAGTGGTAAGGAAGAATGCACATATAACATTATTCATATAACTATAGCCTTTAGCCTCATATCCACTCCTTGACTTTGATGGCACTTCTGTTATGGTGAACTCGATAACATATGATCGACAAATCAATCTATTTTCGTATGGTTCCAAGCAGTAATCTGGAAGTAAGTTGTTTATATTGAAATTAAGCGGGATTAATATGTTTTTCTTATTTCACACAAACTTTTTCAACCACAGTTTTTCAGAAATAATCTGAGCATCCATAGCATAAAGAAACTAAATGCCGCCCAAAAAAAAAATGAAATAAAATGGCTACAATCAAATCTAATTATGACATACTGGGGAAGAAATAGCATAAGAGCCAAGACAATAAATATAGTGACGAGCTACATATCGTCTCTGAAAGAAATGGTAAGACATCACTAGAAGGACATTTAAAGCGAAGTTATTGATAGACGTGAGGCCTTGAACTACTCGTAATTCATCATATTCCACCATAAATGCTGAAGCCATTCTGAACAGCAAAAGAGAGTCCATAGCACATGGCTAATGCCTCAGCGTCTTCCAGAGAAAAGTGGCAAGCAAGCCTGCGAGTATACCCCGCAACCACAAATCCCTCAGCATCCCACAGAACCCCACCTTTACCCAGAAAATCAACATCCAACCGCACAGCTGTATTAGAGTTGAGGCGCAGGGCATGCTGCTGAATCCCACTGCCGCACCTGGTTACGAGCTATTTCTCGTGCTTCTGAACACCGGTCCCCAAGTTCTAAAGGAAAGACTCTTAAAAAGACAGAGTAGAATAAAGTAGAAAAATAATTATTGTACCAACTGAATTGGCCAAATAATAGTTCCAAATAAAATTCGAGCACGACATTACCTACTTGTTAGGATCAAATATAAGAAACATTTGTGTAAACCAGAAGTCAATAGAATTCCTGTTACAAATTGCACAACAGAGTTACAGCCACCTAAAACAATGGAAGCCAAGGGGTATGGATCAGTTTTGATAATCAATTACCTAAGTTCTCCAGGATAGTTTCTAGGCTGTGTATCTAAATCTGTACATTTTCAATTTCAGCACTGTTAGAATAATGTAAAGGATTGAACTTCACTCTCTACTCTGTTTAGCTGTGTCACGTACATGACTTATAGATGCTCTTCTGAGATTGCTTGAAGTTTCTTGTGTATTCTTGTCAAGTCTTTGCTCTTGTTTCAGTCTGAGGAAGCTCAACTGGAGTTTTGATGAAATTTCCGACTTGAGGATGCTCCACTGTAGTTCTATCTTCGATGCATGGTTTGCTAACTACCGGGGACCAGTCATCAGGACTTGCAGAAAAGTTATTTGTTTTATTGATTTTTTCTCCCCAATCTACAGTTTCCACAAGACATTGTTGATCTGGAGCTTTGAAAGAGTTCTGTACTCGATTAGGAATTACATTGTCATGAGGTCCAGTTTCTCCCTCAAGAAGGTCGCCTGGAGTTGCAGCAGGGTCAAGATCCCAGCAACCTTCAGGTAATTTAGTGTCTATGCCTTTAAGTAAACAAGATGGCACCTGGTGCGAAAATCGTAACATTTCTCTTCTTGGAATCCACCGAATGGCATTCTTGTTGGTGTTCCTCTGATATACTGTCTTGAATCCAACTAGCTGTATTAGAGGAGCGACACAGACTCCAAGCTCTTCAGAATAGTTATCAAGAACCTCAACCATTTCATACTGGTGTTTCACTGCATCCGGGGTAGTTCTGTTCCAATCTGGTGACCAGTTCCGATATACAGCCCAAATGTCTCCACTTCTTGGATAGATTCTTACACAACCACCCCTACCAGCTTTCTCTCTACCAAGAAGATGCGAGAAGATGTTGACTTGCTCCACAATTTCTGAATGATAGACCCTAAAATTTCCACAAGATTTGGTAAACCCAGAATCCAACCAATTCACTGACCCAAATTCATTATCAGTTTTAGAGCTCAAGTACCCAATATGTATCTTAAATGGACTGACTGAGATGACCTCACGGATTAGACAATACAAGCGAGGCATACCGTCTTCTTCATCATAGAGGGCCCATATCTGCTTGGGCTTAAAACAGTCTTCTGATCTATCCTTGTCAAAATCATGAAAGTCTGAATCTGGAACTGTTATTGACATTGAAAAAGTTCTCTCCAGTTCTGCTTGACGGCCAGTAACAATTGAACCTGATATTTTGGCTGCTTCACTGGATTTATCAACTTCAGCATGTGTATTCTTCTTCAAAGCCTCTGCCGCTGCAGCTTCTGAAGTCAACCTCATCTCTTCAAGTTTATGGCGGATTTCTGATCTTGCCTTGTCAATTAACAATTGTCTAGCATCAAATGGAGGGGCAGTGGAACTGCGTCTGATTGAAGTCTCAGCTGGCGAGTAAAGCTTAGAATTATGCTTCAAGTTCCCATTTCCAGAGGTCATTTTTGTTTCCAAAACAGTGTCTTTGGACAGTTCTTCATGTCCATTAGCCTTACTGCTTGTCAAGTCTACTTTTATCTTCTTGGCAGGTCTACCACGCTTCGGTCTTGATATTTCGTTATATTCAGTGCATGGGGTGGGAACAATATCAACAGCAGCCTTTACCTTGTGGTGGTTTCCATTGGCTTTTGTTTTATTTGCCTTCTTATTCGCTTGATGAAAGTTAACGGATGATGTAGACGATCCATTAGGATCTAAAATGTCAACAGAATATCCAGGAAAGGAGTTAGATTGAAATGATAAATTGGAGACATACTCAGCTCCACATCCAGTATGATGTCCTGAGACTCCATTAGGCGCACAATATCCAGTGGTTGTTGGGATATATGCAGCTCCACGACCATGACTTCCATAACCATTCTCAGACACATAAGAGCTAGGACTATAAGAGAAAGAACCATTTATTGGGGCTACTCCAGTTTCAACAGCAATGAAGATGCCACGACAATTTTTACAAGAAAGCCGTTTGTTCACATATTTCCGGAGATATTCATATTGAACGCGACAGGTAGTACAGACGGTCCAAAATGTGTCAAGTCTGCTATGAGAAACTGCAAGCTTGGAATAAATGTCATAAGCACAGGTCCCAGCAGCTTGGCTGGCATACAAATTTCTCCTGTGATCATAAGAGCTTCTTTTAACAGTATTGGATAAATGTTTCCACGCTTCTGACACGAGTCTGAAAGCCCCATCAGCACCCACAGTTTTATTCTTATCAGGATGGAGCAAAACTGCCATCTTCTTGTACTGTTTCTTCAACTTAGACTTGTCAGCAGATGGATCCATACCAAGAATTGAATAGAAATCAAATTCTCCATTAATTTTTGCCTCCGAAGCAATGTAAACTCCAAAAGTTGCCACCATTTGAGAAATGCCCTCCAGTTCTGGACAGATCATCTGAGCTTTTAAAGCATAATTCCTAGCTCCGACAAAATTTCTCTCTGCAAACTTCTTCTCAGCATTTGCTTTAAACCTGAGCGCTTCCTCTATGTTTGTTTCCATCTCAAAGTTCAGAAATCAAACCCAAATTCTTGAATGTAAACTACAAACAGCATACAGTGGGTAACTGTCCAAGTCCAAAACTCAAAATAGCCATGGTAACACAGTCTGCACATTTTCAAATAAAAAAATTATTCATCTTTCCCAAACTTTATGCGATCTACCATTAATACTGTTGTTACACAAGTAATTCAATTTCACAACCGAAGTGACTATATTCTCATCAAATCAATTGATTTTCAATATATATGGAAAGTAGATTGGTGAATAAAACAACAATCTTTAACTTAATCCTAATAAAATGCAGATCAATCTCAAGCTCGACCTCCCACCAGATACTAAAAGCCCAGTTTTAAAAAAATCATAAGAGATTCTTTTACAGTCCAGAACATATCAGGCAAGAAATCATACTTGAAATATTTTTTCTCAAGGAACACTCACCTCTGCAAGATAGTCAAACAATTTCAAGTTCAATTAAACGAATATAAGAAAACAAAAGAAAAATCAAATTCAACCATAACGTTCACATTGAGCAAAGATCTAAGCCAACACAAACTCAAAGCATCAGAATTTATGTAGGAAAAATCATTATCTCGTTGTTTCAGCTGAAAATTGAACACGGTTGTAACTTACTCAGATTTGAATCACACTAAGTAACACTTCGAACCCAGACCACCAAAATCTTTTCTGATCCTTAAATTTTCTTCAGATCCACAGAAAATTTGTTAGATCTGTGAAATAAAACTCTCCCCGAAAAATGCATTTAAGTATCATCAGTAAATAAAAAAAGTAGAACATAAAAAAGAACAAACAAGAAAGCTTACTTGCTTAACGAACTGCTATATAGAAGCAGAAAACCATCCAAGCAGATTTTTCCGGCGGCAAACGCCGGCAAGAAAAGGCCGTCAACTAGAAAAATCAATTAATGAAATAAGGGTTTATTTAGAAGTTATATTTACTTCAACTGAATGCAGAAATTTTTTTTTATCCATATTATATGTAAGTAATTAAATAATTATTTTAAAATAATTTTATATAATAATATTAAAATGTAATTATTGTTGTTATGGACAGTTTTATTTATTTTAATATATGTATTTCATTTTTCAAAGAGTTTTATATATAAATATAACTATTATTATGGGAGCCAATGACAGTATGACACGCACTCACCTTTCCTAAAAGTAAAAAGAATATGAAATTAAAAGAATTAAAATTTCTATATTCTTCCTTCAACTTTACAAAAGAAAAATAAAGAAGAAGAAAGTGGGTTTTTTTTTTCAATCATGTGTACATTCTACGTGACATTAAATTTGACATTCTAACACTACTACACATTACATCCTCCATGGATTTTTAAAACAATATTTCGCGACCAGATTTTGACACATAAGATGATGTCAAGGAAAATGTCAACAAGAAATATACATATGACTTAATTCTTATTTTTTATTTTTACATGTCATGCTGTTATTTCTTAAATTGTGTTGGAATCGTCGACTAAACAATTGTTCGACTGTATACCTCGAATTTCTCGTGAGCTATTCTTGGCAACGTGAATTATGAAATGCGTTCTAGCTCAAAAAAAATAAAAAATCATGGAAGATATAGCAATATGAATAGAAATTTATCGATAAACTTGGGAACTGCACATCCTAATTTACTTGCGGACTTCGATCACCATCATATATCACAATTGATAATTTTTTTTCTTTTTTTTTGGTGAAACAAGTAATAGTTTTAATTCTTAAAATTTTTACTGATAGGGATTTCTCCTTAAGTTGCATATCCATTACATCTTGAAATACTCAATCTTCACCACTAAGATCACCCCATCGAACATTGTGTTTTGCAGCAAGGTAATGTGCTCCGACTGGTCCTCGACTGCCATAAGGGTATAGCTCCGGCATGATTTTATTTTCTTCAATTTCCTTCAACAATGGTGTGAATAGAGCCCATGCAGCATCGAGCTCATCACTTCTAATGAATAATCTCCGTTCTCCTTCTATAGCATCTAAGAGGAGTCTCTCATAAGCATCTGGTATTTCCCGCGTATACCTGCAAGAATGAATCCAAAACTTGTAAATGGTTCGTTTAGTGCCACGAAGAACGGTTAGGATTAGAGGAAGTAGTTAAGTGGACTGGCATGAACATGACATTAAACGGCCGCATTGTCATGCAATTTTCAATATCAAGATTTTTTACCTTGTTTTGTAAAATAGGTTGAGGTCACTGCGGTCCAGTCTCATTCCTAGACCGGGAACCTTGTTGTTGATTTTCAAATATATGGCTTCATCTGGTTGTAGGCGAAGGACTAGCTCATTTGTAGCCTTGTCCACATCAGTTCCAAAGTTACGCCTGTACAGATTACCTGGAACGTGTCTGAACTGAACTCTGATCTCGGCTCTGAATTTTATCAACAAAGAATATCAGGACCATGCATTGTCAAAATCTAATAAAAATGAATCTTTAGACATAGTTTTGATGACATAGATCCACCTACCGCTTAGTATGGAGAGCTTTGCCTGCTTTCATGAGGAAAGGAACCCCGTCCCAGCGAGCATTATTAATAAAGAGTGCCGCTGCTGCAAAAGTTGGAGTAACACTGTCCTTTGGCACAGTGGGGTCATCTATATACCCAGGATATGATTTACCACCCTTGCTATGGCCCTTATATTGACCAACAACCACATCTTCAAGCTGCAGTTGCTTCATCGACTTCAAAACTTTGACCTGATTCAGTAACTCACATTACAATGAAGCCATTGCGTTTTTCTAAGCACGCTGCAGAATGAATTCTTGAACTTTCTCAGTCACAAAAAGCAAATGAAATAATCAGAGATTGTTACCAACCTTTTCGTTCCTAATATCCTCAGCATCGAGGCTGACAGGCGTCTCCATTGCAAACAAAGCTAATATTTGTAGTAGATGATTTTGCATTATGTCTCGGATAATTCCATAATTGTCAAAATATCTAATAACATACGAGAAACAGTTATCTTGGGAATCCAAAATCGAGAATCTTATATTAAAAAATAAGAAGTGTGATAAAGAAACTCACCCCCCTCTTCCTTCTGTACCAAAATCTTCAGAAAATATGAACTGAACATTACGTATATAGTTTCTTGACCAAAGAGGCTCAAATACAAGGTTTGAAAAACGGAGCACTGATAAATTTTCCACTAACTCCTTCCCCAAATAATGATCAATTCTGATTCAAAACGAGGCAAATCAAATTCTCATCCTATCTTAATAATCTGTCAAACTGAAATCAATCAAATCCCAGAAAGGCCTACCGGAATATTTGGTCCTCGGTCAGGTACTGCTTTAGACATTTGGTCAGCTCTCTAGAGGACTCTGAATCACGACCAAATGGCTTTTCAACAATAACCCTCGTCCATCCAGTTGCTGAAGAAGCTTTAGTGCTAGCACATCTTACCACATCCACGAATATGTTTGGAGGTATGGACAAATAAAATAACCTGTTTGATAGTTTACCGCTCTGTATAGATCAACAACTATCAATATATATCTTCTAGATTGTTATATTTTAGTCCACTATACATCATGGTCGTTAGATCCATCTTTAAATCTAGAAAAATATGTACACAAAATGGGAGGAATTTTTTTTAGCAAAAATAAGATGATTTTCAGTTTGCACATCCAATTAAACATGATCTCTGGAATCATTGCTGGAAGTCCTTACCAATTAACAGTTCAAAATTTAGGGCTTTTTAAGACCCATTAAAGCAATGATCCTTGATAACGTTTTATCCGACATCCTTTTCCTGATAGTATTCTTTACCCAAGTGAAATAAGATTCATTTGCATTCTACTTAACATCTCCTAATCTTCTGTGTTGTTGGCTTCAGATGTAACATGAAAATCTGGTAAGTACACATTCACTATCTGAACTACCAAGAATAAATTATAAGACTGCACAAAAGCTGATTCGACTAGTGTCTCCACTCTATGTTGCATTCCATATGAAAGGAGTCAATTATCACAGCATGCCGCAATTCTTCAAAAGTCACCATCTCAACTCCGTGACAAACCCATAAACATAATTCAAAAGAAAGAATACGAATAAATGAAAGAATGCGATCACCTTTTCAAATTCAGAAGATGCTTGCTCAATATTAGGAAAAGCTTTGAGAAAGAAAAACTAATTATACTCATTAAAGAGTAATGAAGTCAATCTAACCACTAACAAAGAACCAGAGCATTTAGCATACTACACCATTACCTCACCCAGCTCATTCCGAAATAAAGACAAGATTATCATCGCAAATAATGTAATAGAATATTTAATATCACCATCTTTATCCTTGCAATTGTGCAATAAATGTTCCCAGGACACAAAATACAGTACGAGATGTAGCATATATTGACATAATGTCACATAAGCAATTTACGTCACTTACAAATCATCAATCAATTACTTGTGTTCACCATGCTGCTAGATATGTAAATTTCCAATAAAATGTACCTTATCCTACTTATTGAGGGTTATATAGGTTCAAATACATTGTATTTAAAAAAATCGGTGAAAGCAAACTGGAGACGTGACATTACCTCTCGTTCTTTTAGTTTGCAATTCAGCTCTAGAAAATGTTCCTCAGAATTATATTGACCCGAGTGATAAAAACATCTCTTCAGAAACTCTTCCATTTTGTCTTGACAGTTCTCTCTGTAAGCCATCACCAAAATAACTAAATTAAAAATGACGGAACTATCTAACAATTCAAATGATTTAAGAAAAACCCATGCCTTCTATCAATTCTGCAAGTTAAGGTTTTGCTTATCATGTTTCTCAGCTCTTCATCCGTCATCTTAGTCCGAGCATAACCATAAACGACAAAATTCTGCATTAGTACAATTCATAGAAAAATCAGAAAAGGGAAATATAATAACTTAATTAGTATTAACTTACTCCATTGCTAAGACAAATATTTTCTACTAATTTAAGATTCTTTTGAACTTTAAGCAAATCAACAACAAGTGGAAATATTTGAAAAATCGAAAAAAAAAAAAACCTCAGGTAGCCAATCCTCATAATAAAGAGCAAAAAGAGCTGGAAAAATTTTCTTCTTGGCAAGGTCCCCCGATGCACCAACAACAGTTATACTAAGCATAGAATTTGCCTCTCCAAACTCCGGAAAAGGTACTTCCTCCCCCAGAGTTTTTGCAACTGAACCTTCTGCACAAAGCAATTGGAGATTTTTAGCAATAGGAACTAAATATATTGATACTAAAGACAAATAAACAGACATAACAGTGAATGAGGATTTTGGATCATTATTTATTAACATATCAATCCATAACATCATATTAGTGTCCACTACATAACATTAGGCGGAGAGGCGAGCACAAACCAGGAACTAATAAACATAAGAAAAGCAGCTATATGAGACCATACATACTTCTAGAAATCACTCAATTAAGACCTCGCCATTTGTTTCCACGTACATTCCCTTCTCATTATGTGAAATGGTTCGAAAAGAAAAATGAACATAAGCAGACAAAACCATGATGCTCAGTGTCCAAAATGCCTCAAATAAGAAGGTAAACCACACATAGGTTAGGGGGATTTCCTATCACCAAGTACCTGCAGTTGAATCCCTTCAAATTTCGCAATTATGGCAAATGTATGAACCTTGGTCCTAACATGAAAATATCTGGAAGGGGATACTCGAGGGATTATTTGTAGGCAGGGAGAAAAATTCACTATTTAAGCAGAATCCAGCAATAAAGGGAAATGTTCAATAACACCGCAACATGCCCCATAGCCGGTGGGCTTGGCCTAAAGTATTCGACACATACCTAACATTCTCTGTGTTCTGAAAATCATTGATCTCTCTTTCTAATTAAACCATTCATCCCCATTTTAAAATCAAAGGCTAAAGGCTTATCCTTTCCCTTACACAGCTTCTACCTTACCAGTACCACCACACGAAGAACAGATTTTTTACTACAGGCAGGCTCACATTGTACAGCAAACTAGAGAGAGAGAGAGACTGTAAACTATAAATATTAACGCAAATAAACAACAAAATTTAGTGGATAATCAAATTAAAGGATGATAAAATGCTTAAAAACCAGATACAAATTTAACAGCCAAAACTTACCATCTTGCATAGGAATTGCATTAAGAGGGTACCCATTTGTGGATTTGAGCTCGAAATTATTTCGTAGTTGTCTTCTAAAATGAATATCAGTAACCCATTTCGAGAAATACGATATCTTGTGATCAAAAGAAGAGAAAGTGGTTGAGGATGAAGAAAAATGACTCAACTGAATAGCCATGCACTATGCAGCAGTGAATTATCAATAGATTCGGAAGCTATTAAACAGAAACCTCCAGGCAAAAACTTACAAAGAAATTGTAAATGGATTTCTTTGCCGAGATAATTTTTTTGAATCTTGAAGTGAAATTATTGCTTTCTTGTATCTAATGGCCCTTTGAGTTTGCTTGAGGTCAGTGCAAAAGAACAACAGTATTTTTCAAATGCAATCTTTTATATGAGGCCACAATTTTTCCTCCCATTTTTATTTTTATTCGTTATCCACTTCTTGTGATATCGACCCAAATGGTGTTCAAGAATCACAATGATATTTTAGAGTAAAGCTTTTAAGTTATTTTGTGCTTACGTGTAGACCATAAATATAAATCAAGACTTTGTAGAATCAAGTTAAGGTAATTCTCTTCATCTGAATCTCGATGGAACCAAGAAATTAACCTAAATAGCTTTTTAAAAAACGACGTGATTTTATACTTTTTGGTTCAATCTTAACGTTGTTGCTTGTGTTTTTAGCACTCTTCGAATAAATTAAAAAAAATCATTTTACACATTCCATTTTACCAATGTAACAAATATTAGAACTTCAAGAATTTCAATCCATTCTAGTTCAACAAAAGGTGAAATGATTGGTTTTCTTGCTTAAGATTTGGAAAAATTACTTCTTTTAATTTTTAAATATTGTTAAACGAAGTGTGAAAGAAGTCAATAACGCGGTGAATCCTCAACTTACTTGTCAAAAACTAATATTTCAGAGAAATCTCCACTATTTTATTCAATATATCGAAAAAAAAAGGGGGGGTTATTTGATACTTATAAGTAGAAAAAAAAATACTAATGAAATAAGAGAAAAACATCCTAAATTTCGAATATACCTAGGGGTGTCCAAAAGTCCAGAACCGAACCCGAACCGAATCGAGCGGTTCTTCATAAATTAAATACCCGAACAGGTACCCAAATCGAGAACCGATGGGTTTGGGTCGGGTCTCTGATCTAGACCAAGAACCGAAACTAAATAAATTTTTTTATTTTTTTTATTGAATTAATTGAATTATTTTATTTTTTTTATATTAATTAGCAAATTAATTGAATAAATTAGATTATTTCATAATTTTAATTTTAAAACTCAAATCATTTTAAAATCCATTAGCCCATTTTAATTTGAAACAAATGAATATACTTTATATAGTTTTGCTGTAATATTAATATCTACTTTTTGGTATTTGTATGCATTGAATTAATTTTATTGGACGGCTAGTTTTGTATATATTTTTGAATTGGGCTACGTTAATTAGTAAAAGTTACAAATAAAATGTCATTAATCGTATTTATGTAGTGTTACTGAAAATATTAAAAATTTTAATTATGGTACGGAACCGAACGAAATCGAACCGAACCGAATGGAACCGAACCCGAACGGTTCCATAATTATATTTGGACCCGACGGGTCCATTTATTAAATATCCGAAAGTTTTGGGTCGGTTCGGGTCTCTTCAAAACCGAACCGAACCGACCCACGGACAGCCCTAAATATACCCTCATGCTAGACATAAAAAATAAATCGCAAAAATAAAATAACAACTAAAAGAATAAAAATGCATGATCTCTGCTCGTACAATGTCTTAATTTCCTTTCCCGTCCTCGCCATCAGTATCTCCTTGTTTACTTCTTTGAAAGGATGTGGAATTGCATCCTTCGAAGCTGATAAACCACCAAAGAGAAATCCTTCATCACTTCCATCAGCATCAGATGAAGCTTCAGAATGAATAGTGCAAATTAGCAGCAGCAGCCCAATGGAAACCAGAAGCGTCGTCCCTCTCAATGTAGCCATTCTGAATCAAGAAACAACAGAATATTGCTATTGTTTGCGTGTAAAATTGCCAAGCCACTTTTCTTCTTCTTCATCATTTTTTTTGTTGTTATGATTATGGATAAATATATAGGGAGGCTGGGAAGGGGAGAGGTTCTCCTATATTAAGGAATGTAGACATATCTTGCCTACAACATCTGCAATCCAGTTCCTCAAGATGTATAGGAAGTGGGTGAGGAAAGTTTTTGTAGGATAAAATAATGGAGAATCAAAGTAATAGATTAATCAAACCGAAGACCCGTGTTCACACGGTTTCCTTAAATCGAATTCGCCGCCTCATCGGGGTGCACGAGGTTTTGATCGGTGTTCGATTCCCAGGGTACAATCGGTCGTCAGTTCACGTTGCACTACGTTTACAGCCTACGAACCCGCTGTGACTCTTTCTATCTCTCAAAGAATTTAGAAAATTGAAATTTTGAACCGGAAAATAATAGTTGCTGGAGGAAGCTTGCTTGTTTGAATTTGTTTCTATCACTTGTGTTTCCAACCAACGAGAGAGTCTTCTATTTATACACATAGAAGGAGAGGGTATCCATAAATTGACATTGAAGATGATTCCTGAAACTGAAGATATAATGGCTGGCCGAAACTGAAGAGTAATGGCTGAAACTGAAATTCTAAAATAATGACTGATTCAAACGGATGAAACTGAAAATGTTTCTGTTTTTCATTCACTTTCCAACAGTTTTTACTATATTAAGGACATGCCATCCAGTTTGAAGGTATTTATGAACAAGATCAGCACCATAAACATGGTTAAGCCCCAATTATAATTAATCAACAGTACCAGATATCTCTTGTTTCTCTTTGTTAATTCGAGACCCTGTAACCTTTGGTCCTCCAAGGAGCAACCTGCACCAGAGCAGGATCGCCGTAAGAACTATTATCATTGTCAAGAACTGTACACATGCTTGCATTACGACAGTTCTCCAATTCACAATTTCATAGTGTCCATTGCATGTTGACCAGCTTCACTCTACAACACCTTAGTTTTACATGAAGATCTCAATACTGGTCTTATTCAGTGGTAATGCAACAAAATAGAGTCAACCCTTATTTGGTGCGTAAGAGAACTGATTAGGATTCACTTACCGTTTGTACGATGGGATAACATAAATTCTGAAATGGCAATCCAGCTTAAAAATGTTAGATGTATGATACACAACAGGCAACATTGACAGCAATGACAGAAATGGATAGGGATAAATTTTTATAGGTGTATTTCTACTAAAGTACGAATCCTGCAATTAAACAAATTCCGCTTCTATTAATGGATATAGTTTCTATTACACTTTGCCACTCCAAATACTATAAAGAGTTACTTAGTTTCATTCGAGGTAAGTATCCACTATCCACATCTATGTCGAGTTTGTGTATATGTTTTATTCATTACACTAAAGAGTCGTCATGGATTAATAATTAAATCACTTTTGTCAGAGCAACTATGAAAAAATAATCACATATTCAATTAAAGAACTTGATATTGGTAAACTAAAAATTACCTGAGACAAATGAACTCCAATATCAATTATGATTTATCCAATGTCAAGATCCATTATCGAGCACAGACCAAGAATGTATCAGAATTTTAGCGCACCTGCACAGCAACAACAATATAACAAATAAGCACTCAATCGCAATGGGGAATTAAGACGGTTCTTTCCTGCAATTAAACAGAAGGCATAAAAACGGCAGTGTTAATAGAATTTATTACCTGATATTTAACCTGTTTAATCTGTCTTGGATAGGAAATGGACAATAGACTAAAATAAAAGAATAATGTCAAGGCAACAAAATTCCCTTGAAAATGTATCAATATGGCCTGTAACATTATACCCGAAAAAGTAACATTTCTGCCACATTTCTATATGGGGATTAGTAAACAAAGGTTTACAATTCTATACATTCCTCCAGAAGATTAGCAAGCCTTCATCTGGTTTTCAGTATCCTAAATATGATATTCTTTGATGCAAAAGCAAGACGGCAACAATTCCTCTGGTGCTTTCAATACCAAATTCTGATTCCAAATGCCCCTTCATAAAATAACTTAGCAGCCAATGTGCAGTTACATTAATCACTAGGCTATAAATCACAAACTATGACCTATTGATATTGTTAGGTGCTATGCTTAAAGCAACTTCATCACTAACAGGCATATTCTGAACATGCTCAAGAAGTTGTGTGAGTTCTCTATGAACAAAATTAAAACGTTCTCTGGAGATGAATGATTCTGAAAATAAAGTTGCAGTAAGTGAATGAAAGGCTTGAGAACAGTCATTGTTGCTGTTTTGAATGATTTGATCATCCAATGGAACTAAAGAACTCTCCAGTCGCCATCTGAGTGGAAAATATTTTTCTGGGACTTGAAAATAGTTCTTTACTACAAGCACTCGAAGGGAATGTCTGCATAATATGCCAGAATGTTCAAATTCTTTACAAGAACAATGAACTAGCTCATCCTCAGGTATCCAGTATACAAGACACTCTCCTTCCATTTTCTTATAGTGCCTCACTAGATATGAGCCATTAGACATTTCTGTAATTGCATAGTGCATAGACAACACAATTTCATGCTGCAAAGCACTAAAGGCGTAAGGCGTCAGAACAGTCCGAGCATGTTCTTCCAGAGGGAGACATGTCTTGATCGGCATATACAAAAACTCTTCCCGGTTCTGCTTCTCAAAATTTGCGGCAATCCCAACCTGCAAGAATTCGAGAAATAAAACTGAGAAAATTTTAGAAAATTGAAAGTCCAACAGTTCTGGAAGTGAAAGTCATACGCAAAAACCTGCTTAAAAAATAACTGCAATGATGATTCTGCGCTCAGAATATTTTTCAAAAATGTCTGCTCCAATTTTAAATACTCAGGAGTCATAGTACGTGCTAGGAAGAAATTACGAACATAGCAAAATGGCCAACATGTTCGATAAGAGAAAAGCAGATCAATGTGTTTATCTGAACCAATTCCAAAGCGAGCAACCACATGATTCCACTGTTGCTCAAAATCCTCCACATTTTCTTGATGACACAACATGTCAAACTCAGATTTAAAGTCTGAGTACTGCACGCCAAGTGGCAAAGAGAACCAGCTGGACATTTTTGAGAGGACTTTCCAAATAGAGATAATGTGTTTGGTATTTGGCATCTCAATTGATATAGCATCTCTGAGACCTGCATCAATGTCAGTCACAAATATCTGTGGCCATCTTCCTCTCATAAATCTAACAAAAACCTGTGGAAAAGCAACATAATTACAAGTATTACAGATAAAAGAAGAACGTAAATGCATGATGATCACAAGGCTAGCATCTCCACACCTTTAAGGCCCAAGAAAAGGACCTGGATGTCTCATCTTGAAGTAAAGTGCATCCAAGAAAAACTGGTTTGCCATGATTGTCAATACCAAGCCACACACCAAGGATCATATTATAAGTGATAGAACGATATGTGGTGTCAAAAATAACTACATCGCCAAAGACAGAAAATGCCCGAATAGAGTCTCCATAAGTCCATGCAATGTTTTCAACTTTCCCACTCTCATCTGTAGAACAATTGAAAACAAATCCGTCATCCCTCTGTGCTGTCACCTTGCATGTCTCAAGAAGTTCCATAAGTTCATTCTCCCGCTTCTCTGTAAGGATCACATCATTCTCTTGAACAGATTTCTTACATGTCCGAACAAAATTTCTAACATCCTTTTCAATAAAAGGTAACTGCCCTGGTTGAACACCTTTTTCCAATTCCAGCACTTTCACAATCCGATTCACAGGGAACCCAGCCTTTGAGAGCAAAAGAATACGTTCTTGATCAGCCTCTTCAATTTTTCTATAGGCAGGAAGTAGGCGGACTTGATCGTCTTCCAATAGTTCATGGTTATGAACATTACTAAACTGTGAAACATACCATTGTGTCAAACCATCAACAATCTCCTTTGTCAAGTACATTTTTGCATCGCATCCACATCGTACTGATTTTCTATCTCGGGGGTGCTCCACGTTGGCCTTCTTTCTTGGCTGATTAAACCCAGACCGGTAACAAACAAAATCCCTTCTATAAATTCCTAAATTTTGACTTTCTGTTGAACGAGCTTTCCTAATCGAAAAGCCACTCTTCCTTGCAAAGTTGCTATAGTATTCAAAAGCTTCATCATCACTTTTAAAAATCTGACCAACATATGGAGTAAAAACAACTTCTTGCAATGACGAGAGCATAGTTTCCCTCTTTACCAATTGGGATTGGACCGCTCCCTCATCATCTCCTTCGTATTTAATATAACACTTCCAATCCCCACAAGGGCATTGCTGGCGTCGAATCCAAATGTTATGTAACGGCTTTGCACCCATTGCTTGGAGGAAAGAATCAACACGAACTGCAAACTTCCAAGCAGGGGTAGCAGATTTCGAGTTTTTCACCTTCACTCCAAATAAAGAAAAATTCTTTCGTAAAGATAAAGACATTTCAATAGCTTGATTATTATTTAAAAGCATTTGCTTCAATTATCCTATAATGTCAGATAAGTAAGATTTCAAATTATACAATAAATTTACAGATGCCCATTTCATAGAAGAGCCCAAGTAAGATAAAAACAAGAAACTTAATCTACTACTCAGATAAAATCATGAACAGTGAATTTTCAGGATTGACAAAAAAACTCGATCAAAATAATAATTCATTTTATTCTACAAAACTCGAATTTGAGTAAAAAAATAGCAGTAATAGAGAATTGATACCAGGAAATGATAAACCCTCCCCTTGAATTTTCACATTTTTTTGCTAGGTCTCGATCAGCCATTTTCAAAATTTAGGACTGGTAGTTGGTCTAAACTCAAAAGTCAATGTTCTGCAACTCCAGAGAAAAAGGAGATGAGGGGGGTGGGGGGGGGGGGGGGAGAGAAGATCNGAGAGAGAGAGAGAGAGAGAATGGCAATCAATTTTTGGGCCTCAAAAAGGCTTATGCATCCTTGTATCAATAGGCCGGATTCCTTTGTTTAGCTCCAGAGTTTAAACTCTGATCTGGTGTGGTAATGTATAGGTTTTAACCGTGAGCTTGGCTAAGAAATTGCACAATATACCAATTATTTTATTCTTATGCATTTTAGCCACTCAATTTTGTTTATGTTTTAGTTCATAATTTTATTTCTTTTTATTTTCGGCCTCAAACTTCTTCAAGAGTTATGGTCCCTCATATTACCTATGTTCTCATAGTTACACAAGTTTCAATACCCAACTAAACTAAAATTTACATATTTAAGAATATGCATATTAATTAACTAGCTTCGATAAGCCAAAATAGTGAGGCATTATGGTCTCCTTTCATAAAAATTACATTTTTTAAAATTTGGCTAAACA